TTACACTGAAGATTAATCAAGTAGAATTTTTAATTTGTAGCTTTAGAGGTCCTTTCTTTGAACGATCTTAAGATTACTGTGAGAAGAAAGAGTCAGTTCCTCGCTGGATGTTGAAAATGAAAGAGCAAAAATAGATAATTTTTTTTTTTTTTTTTGTAGTTGATGTGAAAGTTTCAGATAAACTGTCTACAGCTTGTCCTCCAGGGCTGCATCCCTTGAGGAGCTGTTCCTGAAGCTCCCCCAAAATTGCTGCACAGGGAGCGAAGTCTGGTCCACCACTTTTGGTTCTGTCACTCACTTAGGTGGGACTGTTTCAATCCTCTAAATGTAGCAGCTTGTTTCCCAAGATCACTTGATGCATAACCTTGTCCTATTTTTACTTTTTTTTTTTTTTTCCCCTCCCCCAAAACTTTCACTTGAAACAGGAAGGAGAGGTAACGGCTATATCACTTCTGAGGGAGGAAATAATTCCAAAACTCCTTCTAACAGTATCGGATTATGAAATCCTTCAGAGCAATGGTCCTGTTGAGCAATGTGCAGTACAGGAGGCTGCAGTGACAGACGTACGGAGACAAAACTGAGCCATATTCTAGGTGACATCTGCAAGTCCTCTTGGTGCCCTGTATCTCTCCTGTCAACTGGATATTTGAAACCAGTGGCGATGCTTTCAGTTCTGAATACACCAGTGGCTGTTGGTCTGTCTGCTGCTGAGTGAGGAAAGCTGTTTAAATAAACACTCAAAACAAAAACCAAAACCCTTTCTCGCAAAATATCCCAGCCTGGACCCTTGTAAATGAGTTTCTGATTGCACTTTCTGATTTTTTGCTTTTCATATGGCTTCTTGAAACTTATTTTATTGTAACTGTAATTATTTTTTTTTTGTTCTCACCTGTTATGCATTCTCTGTATGTATTAAAAAACGCTTTGATATGTAATTTAATAATAAATTAGAATTCTAAGCAAGATGCTTGGTTCTTTGCCCATGACGATCTTTGAGTACCTGAACTTTGGGGAAGATGCAGAGAAGATTCATCTCTCCAGTTTGGGATTGTCACTGAACGTAGGAATTACTGCGTTCTCCATTTTTGTACCGAATAGCGGATGTGAGGGAGCATTTCCTGACCCAAAATACTCGGTTTGCCAGGATGTGTTCCTCCTGCCTGCCTGTGCAGACTTGGACTCCCCTTCTCCCCTTCTGTTTCAAGCATCTGCATTGGAAGGGTCTGAATACAGTCATGACGTTTTTCTTGCTGTTCTTTGAGAGATGGAACAAGGATGCTTTTCTTCAGAGGTAAGTTTTAAAAAGTTTTCTATGTATCCATGGTATAAAACATTTAATTCCCAAATGCACACCAAAACTGATGTGTCAACTGATGTTGATTTGAAGAGCCTTCTCGGCGTAAGGTGCGTCCCTCCTTTTTTAATAGGATTCTCAGTAGTTCGGTAGCTTATTTTTTATAGCCCTCTTCTCCAGTCACAAACACCAAAAATAAGCTGATACTTTGAACATGGTACAAGCAATTCTAAGAACTCTCTCCGTGAAGTTCTGTCGTATCCTGTAGTTTCCTAGCACTGCTGTAATTTGGACCACCTCCATCCTCGGGTGCCTGAAGGACCCATCTGCATCTGTCGTTTTTGTAATTGGTGCTAAATCTTTCAGTACCACTCGAATTTATTTTCTCAAACAAGAAAATCTGCCTGGCAGTGTGATACCTGTCTATTTGCATAAGGCTCGGAGTGAAGAGAGGTAGTTCTCTTCATTTCAGAGCTGTCGTGCTGTGCCTCTAATGCTGCTTTAAAGTAGTGAGAGATTTCTGTGTCCTTAATATGCCTACTAAATATTCGGGATTGACCAGATGCTTTCTCAAGGGAAGGCTTTGACTGTATGTTTCAAGCTAGAGAAGAAACTTCAAAAACTTCCGAAAATGGAAAGGCAATTCTGGTTTCAGATAGTGGGAAGTACCGTTAGTTTTTCCAGTTGCGGCACTGGTAGTAAGTGGTGCATAAAATTCCATCTTCATTTGGATTAGAAAATAAATTATTAATGGCACTGAATCCTTTTTTCCAGCTCCCTGTACAGTCAATAATTTATAGTGGCACAGGCGTAAGATATGTATTTTTAACCGTCCGCCTCCCAGAGTACTGT